CTCTCTCTCTCTCTCTCTCTCTCTCTCTCTCTCTCTCTCTCTCTCTCGTTTTACGTGTCGCGGTAGTATGGCTACAATTTGAATGTCTATCGTCTTAATCGAAACAAAGTTCGGCATGATCATGCTTGCCGCAATTTTTCGGCTTTGGAATTTGCGCGTTGTGTTTTTTTTATCACTTCACTTTTTTGCGGCTCAAATTTTGTTATTTCTTTCTTCTCGTGAAATTCAAATTGGTTTTTGAATGGCTTGCAATTTTTCGGTTGTGTTAACAGCAAAATGTGAAATGATAAATTTTCATGACTTTGTAAACGATCCGGAAACAAAAACACTGACCGGTATTATGGATGCAGCCGATCGTATCACTCACTCACACATATTTCATACCGTTTTTAGCACATGAGATCCATGACGAATGACAATGAAATTGCCCAGACTATTAAATGTAATTCGTAAACAGACCGATTTTTTTTCTGGTGTGTGATTGATAGTCTGAGCGATTTTTTTTGATACATTAATTTTGTTCTGATCCATGGAAAGGATATGGAGCGTTGTGTTTGATATGGCATCCAGTAAAGAGCTATCAGCCGATGAAACATCCAAAATGATTTAATGCTTTGTTAATCATCATCCGTGAAGATCATTCGCTCCACCGAAATTGATTGAGAAGTTTCACAATTTTGTTGAAAAGCATGTATGAGTTTGGAAATACTAATGCAAGTTGTTGTGATCGCCCATCCCGGCGGCGGCGGCCAATGACTGAGCGCAGTTTGTTGGCTTAATGATCTTAATCAAATTGGCTCACAATACACACCACATGAGTCCAAAAATTGAGATGCCCCACGAAATTCAATGAATGGAAATTCATCCACACACAATTCGCATTATTTCCACCATTAAACAAACATCGCCAAAAAAGACTAATGAAGAAGAGAACGGCAGCGTCCGAATAACAAATAAAACACGCAATTTCCCAACATAGCCGAATCTCGTCGATAACTTTTTTCTTTTTTCCGCTCGCAGCTGTTAGTTTTCGCTGGAGGTCAGAAATTCGATTGAAATTTCACGCTCAGTCCATTGGATCCAATTGAAATTTTTTACTACTTTGTTTGCCATGTTTGTCAGGCTATTTGATATGTGTTTTTCCCTTCAAGAAAAAGAATACGCACTTTGGTGCCGACATTTCAATTTCAGTTTGAGTTACACAATTTTGGCCACAGTCTGACTTGCGGCTGTTACAATAATGAACGATTCGTGTCCACATTTTTCCCGCGTTCCGTGGTCATGCTTTTTTCTCGCTGTGTGTGAGAGAGAAAAACATAATGGAAAAACCATGCTGAGACTCAAGAAGATATCTTGTATGCTCGACGAGCACTGCTCGCCCGCTCTGCCGACGAAACTGACAATTTGGAAATCATCAAGACATTTTCCATTGATTCTTGCTTGTTGATTTGAAAATTTATGTCTATGCCGTCAATTTTATTGCTCTGTGTGTGTGCGCACGCTCGTCCCGAAAAATCGAATTTTTTGTTGACGAAATTCATTGGGCCAACATTTGAAAACTCACACGGTTCACTTACAATGTGTTTTCAGCGAATTTCCAACCAAGTCAAACGAATGGAATTCATTTTGTGGTGCGACGCGGCGCAGTGAAAAGCGCAGCAGTGATCATAAGCACAGCATCATAGGCACCACAATACAACAGCAGCATCAACACGAACAAACGAAAACAACACGATCGCGAGAAAAGAGCAAAACTACATGAAATGATGCACATAAAACTTTCTAATAGTTAATGTATTCGCTCTATAATCACGATGACGTGCTCATGTTTTTGGCCCATGTTAATGTATTCAATATTCGTTCTTTACTGTGTCATGTCGTAATACGGCCATTAAATGTCTATTGTTTATTTCGGTGTCGGCACAAAATCCGCAAAGTTCATCTGCTCGCGCGCTCTCTCTCTCTCTGTCACTAGAGCTAGAGCTATTATGAGTTTGGCCATGGTGATGTTGATGATGATGAATCTCAAAACAATGACAACACTGACGCACAAACACACATTACCGCGGATGACTATTGCACGCATGTTTGCATCTCGCCATAGAAAGCACAACGCGCATCATTTGCAACTATCAAACAGATTTTTTTTTCTCTCGGTGGAAGTGTGTGTGTGTGTTTGTGTATGAGAGAGAAAATTAAACGATGCGTTTCAGTAATTAATTGAATTTTTTTTTCTTTTTATGCACTGTCGTGCGATGAATTTCCGGGATTTCACATCGGAAAAAATGAGAGAAAAAAACATTCATTTTTATGTGATTTTTTTCGATTAAAAAAACTTTTGTATTGTCTCATATCTGTGAGATGCGATGCGAAGCATTTGAATCTGATGGGATCGCGTTGGTTGTAACATTAACATTGAACGAAAAGTATCGCCCCATTGAAATGCGGAACGAAATGAAATGAAATTTGTTTGCCAGCAATGCTCGCTGACATTTTGTCGCCGCCGCAGCAAAAGACTTGGAACAGCGATATTTTTCTACGAAAGACTTATTTTCTCACGATGTTGGATTTTTGTAGCACTTCGCTGATTATTACCGCTTTTGCGAATGAAATGACATCGGACGAGAAAACCATGTAGATCCTTGAATTGGCGGATGCATCGTAATGAGTAAATAAGTCAACGCGAAATAGGCAAATAATCAAATTAGCACTATTTTTCTGCATCGTTACCGACGAAGGTTATCGAAATCGAGATGTTTTTTTGGGTGATGTTTTTCTTTTGGTTTTGCAAACAGAAATCGTTCTCAATATTCGAGTGTAAAACGTTTGCAATTTTTTTTTCAATGTCAATGCATTTATATAGAGTAAAATTTAACGCCTTTTCCACGATAATCATGAAGCTAAACAATGGAAAGAAATACGGCGATATTGACATCGTGCTGAAAGGGCGACAACAAGGAAATTTCGCACAGTTTAAAGATAACGGCCACAAAATAGCGTTTTCGGTGCACCGCTTTTTGCCATGAGAAGTGCCGAAACCGAACATAAAAACATTCACAAGACGAAAAAGAAATATAGTCATCTAGCAGAAAAATGGTTATAATTGCGTTTTAGCAGCCATGTTTTAGGTGTTTATCGCCATTTATACGTTTATCCAGCGCATCATTACCATTCACTAATGGTCCGGGCCATACACGAATATCTTGTGAAGCATATGTTAATTAGTGCTAATTGCTTTGTTTTCGAGTTTCGCGATGCGGAACACTTGTTAGTTTGAGACGGTTATTTTTTTCTCTGTTTTTTTTCGGGATGAACAATTTGAATTGAGTTATCATTTTTTTTCTATTTGAATTTGAATTTGAAATTTCCACAATGAATCTCATATAAATCTAATATGGAAATTTCCCAGAAAAAAAGCGCAGAAAAAGGTGCAGAAAAAAAAGTGCCAAATCAAATATAAATAAAATCAACTTGTCAGATGATTGATGTGTAGTTTGACGATGAAATTGTACTTGTTTTTATGTACACATACACACACACCTCGAAATGGAGATTGTTCGAACGACGTTCCTCATTCAAAGATTTTATAATGGTGTTCTTTTTTTGTTCGTGAAATGATCTCTCTATCGAATTACTTGATCGGATCAAGAATCATCTCGAAACAAAATAAAGCAACAACCATTTGACATTGATTGAGGTTAGCAATTTTTGCACAATATATCATTCCCCCGAAACCATTCCCCTAGAATATGCGTAAAAAAGAAGAAAGAAACAACCGCAATGATTGCGATGTGCTTTGCGAATCGGAAATCAAAAAATTGACAAGTGATTGTTTATCAAGTGAAGTGAACAAATATCGCAAAATCCGGTTTCATCGTACAAAAAAAAGCCATTTTAATGAAATATTAATTACATACAATTTGTTTTGTGTGTGTGTTCCTTGATGGAGATGCGACTTAAGTTTTTCTTCTGCTGCTAAATGAGAAAGATTCCAAGAAAAGTTCGTGTCTGTTCGAAAAGCTACGAAAGATTCATGTGCCTTCTTCGTGTGCTGGGCACACACAGCGAGCGTGAAGGTGAATCCGATTTTTCGTCAGTCACTCCAGTCGATTCCAATTATCAAGATTGTTCTCTGTAACGTGTAACGAACATACATTTGTATCAACTTGGAAAAGTGGGCTTTTGTCTGAAATTGCTCACGATTTGTCTGCAATTGCGCAGTAACTCTCTTGAAGACAGTGAGAGAGAAAAACCAGCATCAAATGTCGTAGAGTCCGATGAAAACTGTGGAATATCCAAAGAGAAAACCCACATCAAAAACCTTAAATGGTTCTGAAATGATGTCAATTGATGTTGATGCGATTAATCGCCATTGCACACTCGTCGCGATCATGCGTTCAGAAATGCTCATTTCGCGTAGCATCGAATCAATGAAATGTACAGTTAAACTACCGAATTAACGGAAAATGCGCAATTGGCCACTTGAAAACTCACACAAAAGCCGCCTGTTCTTCGATACAAAACCGGCCCACAAAACCAGCACAGAGGTATTAAAATCAGTGTATGATGGCCTCTGCTCTTACCGTTCCGTGAAAAGACGATTGGCAAATCGCACATGATTTTACCAGCAACACAGACGAAAACAAAAAAAAATGTGTGTTTCTTGCCATTATTCTGTTGAGTCGTTAGTTTAATCGCTAATGTTGGTTAAAAGTCAAAGAAAATGATTTTGTTTATTGTTTTGACGCTAAATTATTTCTCGAATTTGCTCATTACGGTGCACAAAGTCACTGCTTCAGCGCGCGATTGTTGGTACGTTGTGTTTGTGCGCGAGTGTGTTTTTTGTTGCCTTTGCTCTTCGCTCTGTGCATTTGTTCAAGGCCATCGACACTTTGATGTTTGTAATTTTTCGTAAGTTCAATTTATCATTGAGCTTTTGTATACACACTCACTGGCATTTGGATTTCGGTTGTTTGTTTTGCACCAATTTCAACAGTACCATTTTGGGGTTTTTTCTTTCACATAAAAATCAAATGTTTCGATCAAAGTGTAAATGTTCGTGTAAAATGCTGTTGATCGAATCGTGGAATGGTGAGCAATGATTTTCACGCATACTTTTGAAGAAACCCAACTGGATGTTGCGATGGAATTGAAATGGGTCAGTAGGAAAAGGCCAAATGAATTTGGTTGAATGCATTGAAAATAGCGAGAGAGCGCTTCACAGAAATCAATCGATTGAAATGCTCAAAATCATCGTAAATCAATTCACGTTGATCACGTCCGTTTATAAACCAATTCGAACAGAATAAAATGTCTTATTCCAGTAATTGCCATCGATTTGAAATGAATGAAACCAATTTTTGTGGACGAAATAACGAGCGAAAAAATTACAACATTCGCTCATTTGTGTGATGCTTCTTCCCAATGATTTATTGATTAAATGGCGTTTTTTCGTTGTTCATTATTCTGGGATCAAATGTAATTTGATCGATATGCCATTACAATGATGATGATGATGAGTTTTGTTTTTTCCCATTTCGTCGTCGAAATGAAGATGATTTCGGTGATGTCCGTACCATATTACACAATCGATTGCGTGCAACGTTTATTGCACAGCTTTATCATATATCGAAGACCGGTTTTCATTGGTCATTCACAAGCCCAGAAAAAATAGGCACAAAGAAACCATGAATGGAGCAAGATATCAGCGAAGTGAGGTTATTACCTTGTTCAACATTAGACCATCAGATGATTGTTTCTTGTTTTGGTCAAGTCAACAGTGTTGATTCAACACAGATCTAAATGGCATATTCCCTTTCATTGTCAAATCAAAAGCGTAATTCCATTATGATTTGTCTTGTTGCCGTAACATTGTTTTCGCTCTGCACGTGCAATGTCTGTTCTTTGAAACCTGTTTCTATATGACTTCATTTTCGATCCGATGATGACAAGAAGCGAAGCAGAAGAAAAAACACACACGAGTAATAAGACCATAAAAAAATGTTGTACACACTTGAATACGTCATTGGATGTCCAATGCAAAGTAGCGGTACAAGAAAAGAAGCAGAAAAAAAACAACCAGACCTGAGTTAATGCGAGAATTGAACGCAGCAACAAGAGAGTCATTGCAAAAGTTATAGCTGTATCGAGCATATAAATAAATTAACACTTTAAGACGTACTGTATAATAAGCATGTTCGTTCTCTCGTGTATTCGTGTCTCGCATTTATTTATGCTATTGTTATGTGACAGCTTGCTATTTTTAAAATTGTTACTTACCAACGAACAAGCTGAGAGCAACAGCAGCCGCAGCATTAAAACATGCATTTTGATAGACATGCGAACGCACCGAGAAATTAAAAAACGATCGAAATTCCCGGCCGATCGAATGAAAAATTCAAAATTAAAATGAAATACGAATCGAATGAGAAAAACGAACCAAAATATATTGCCTAGGCTAATAAGGAAGGGTTTAATCCATCAACTGTTCACGATTTTTGTTTTGTCTTTACTAATTTCGTCTCTTTTCCTCTCTCATTTTTCATCTCGTTTCGGTATGCTCTTGGTCTGGACTGATGCCGCCACAACAACATTCACCAACCAAATGGGATCGATGCGAACAGGCGTATAGACGGGAAACAAGTTCAGTGCGAATTGCAAAAATCATTGGATTGACGGTCGTTGTGTCGTCATTTATTTTGGGCTCATTCATTTTAGCCTCATCATATTTACAAGCGCGTGCATCATGCGATCAAATGCAGGTAATAAACAAAAAACAAATTCAAATAGCATTTCATTTTCGGATATTTGGAATTGCTTTTTTTATCTCTCCGTTCCACAGACACTCGACTCGATATTAGAAAAGGAGCTCATGCTTGAAACACTACAAGTAAGTAAAAACCAACGAATAATTTAGTCAAATTTACACATTTTATCATTGTTGTTGCCCGTTACAAGGGTGCGTGCGTTTTTTGTTCGTACATTTTTCTTTCTCACAATATTTACGAAGCGAGCAGCGATAGCATTGAATGAAATATTTGATAATTGAAATTAGAATAGAACTCAACTCTTTAGTTCAATGAAATCGAAAGTATACGCTGCCGTTTTTTTTCTGTGACGCGGTTTGAATGCAATATTCGAATCATTTACGAAACAAAAGAGAGATAAAAATGAACAGGTTTTTCGTAACCTTCAACATTGTTGTTGTTGTTGTTGTTGTTGTTGGCGCTTTTTTGTTTCGCTATTGTTGTTTTTTCTAGATTGAGAGACTACGTTTATTGTGGACAAAATAAAATTATTTCTATTTGCAACGAAAAAAAGGCATGTAGTGTGGAGTGTTTCGATTTCATTGTCACAATTCGCGCAATACTTTTTAACACATTTTCTTTTGTCCATCGATCATCATTGAAAAATATGGGCTTAGAGACGTTTTTTTTCTCGTCATTTGAATTACACTTTCTCCGCTCAATTTAACATTGATATTCAAATCAGCTGTTTTGTCGACAAACAATCGCTGACCGACACAAAAACGCGGCCATATTTTTAGTCAGTTCAATTTTTCTATGCAATTGAGCAAGATGATTAGTGTGCAAATCGAATTAAGCCAGAAAAGAGAGAAAAAAAATCCACTCGAACGGTATGGCACGCGCGCACAGGCGACATCAAGTGAAAGTGGAACGTAAAGTGTACACAAATATCGGTCAAACAAATCATGTAAGGAGAAAAACGGACGGCGACGACGACGACTGTCGATACAAAGTCATAAATTGAGTATCTATTTCGTTCGTTACTTTGTAAATGGTTGTTGAGCAATTTTAATATTCTGAATGTCCGTTGGAGATATTCCAATTACTCGACGAAATGTAGACAGTTACAGTCTATTTATGTTCCTCGGGATAAAATTTATCCCGGGGTATAAAATGCAATTTATACCGAGTGATAAATTTCGAGGGATAAAAATCGCAACTTATCCCTCGGACAAAAATTCATGCTGAACATATGAAAAATAAATGTTTTAATAGTTCTCGTTGTATGTAAATGAAAGCAGAAGTGGTTTTCTTGTAAAAAATTCATAATACAGATGCATGTGATGTTAGACTGGTCCAGATTTTTTTTTCCTGAGATATTCATATAAATTTCGAAAATTGCCCTCAAAAAAATAAGTTTGACATCAAAAACTTGGAAAACGTAGAAAAAAACCACTTTCCAAAGAGTTATCCATTTTTTCATTCCACTCGTTTCGGAAGCCATTTTAGATCGCAACATTTCGACCAAAATAATTTTTCCAAACGACTTTCGGCAAAAACTGATGATAGGGTTTTGTTTATCTCGTCAATATATATAACTTTTGCCAAGACATTAGCCCATGAAAATGCATTCTGGGCCAATTACAGTGTGAAATGACCAAAAAAAATTCAAATTTTCGGCATTTTTTACATTTGACCCATATAAGTCATCCAGATGGTAGACTTTTGTTCAGTCTTTGACTTGTATCGTGTAGCCAGAACCTGCACAAATATTTGGTTAGTTGTCAGATTGCGATTTGGATGGAATTTGGCGTCAATTGACTCAGACATAAAAGACCAATTTCAGACCAAAATGAGCAAATCACGAACATGAGCTTCGGTTTGACAGATAAAAGCAAGCGATTTCTATCTTTTCTGCCTTTGAACATCTAGTATAATCCTTTATGAACATTTTGGATACTTACACGACCAAATCGAGTCATGTTTTCACATAGCTCTACCCTCATATTCGATTGGTTCGATTCCAACTCTCAAAAAAATCCATTTTTCATCGAAAAATCCTTAAGTTTAGGCTTTTTGGGATTATAGCTGTGCTCACGATTTTTTTTTAACAAGATATCGTAATAAACTAAAAATATCGTTCGATATCGTTATTATGATGGAATCTTAATAACGCTATCAACTTTTTATCAGGATATTAACTATATTCAAATAATAACGTTATCGGATAAATCTTAATAATATCTTTTGGAAGTTATCAAGATCGAATCCTGATAATTTATCAACATTCAATCTTAATAATCTTAATCATCAAGTTCTGGAAGTGGGTTTTGGTGGATCCTCAGGATCGACCAGAACTGCTCCCAGTTCTGGAAGTGGATCTTCAGGATGGACCAGATCCGGTTTGACACTGCCCTTGGCCCATACGAAATGCTGAGATGCTCAGCCATCGGAAAACACATGTTTGATGTGGTCTAATTATGTTTATTAGTTTATTGGGAATTCGCATTGAAATGTTATAACCGAAGTAGAAGTTCAAGGAAATTTCAGATAAAATTATTGGGCCAAAACCAAACTTGTGCAAATGCGATCAGCATGAAACTTTCGGAATCTCATTTTTTCGCCGAAAAATGAAATGCGAGAAAGTTTGAAGCTATTCGGAAGGAGGGTTTACGGGTACCACCCATACAAAATTGTCAAAAATTTGCTAAAAATGATCAAAAATCGATGTGAAATCGATTTAGTATTGTTTATTTGTGTTAAATTAGTTCAATTCTAAGGTCACGAAGCAATAAATATGGTAAAAAATACGATAGCAGCGAGTAAAAAGTGTATATTCCATCAGAAATGACTAAAATGAATTGTTCGAGGCGATATACACGATGCGCCAGGTCCCAATCAAAGGTTTTTGCACAGTTCTGGTCGGAATGTTCTTTTCTCATGATTCTGAAACAAATAGGCTATTTGCTCCCAAAATACGTCAACTTTTGTCGAAAGAGGCGCAGTCTATTCATTGAGCATTATTGTGATCTCTTTCTGCCTTACCGACAACTCCTATAATATGCGTCTTTTTCATCTGACTCCTACATGCTGTTGTAGTTGTCTGCGTGTGTCACTCACACATTTCACGAATGAAAAGGCGAAAAGAAAGAATGCAATTGATGTAGTAGCACATGAAATGTCAATGCGGCAGATAGAGTGATCACAATATTGTCTAATGTGCAAAACTGTCAACAAATGTATTGACGGTTATAAAATATGAGCCGAATGTTCAATTTGGTAAAGTACTAATACGACAAAATCGTACAAAATCGTTTAAGAACACTTTTTCCCAACCTTTTTCAACTTTTCTGGACGTTTCTAAACGTGTCATAAGTGTTGGTGTGATTAGAAATGATATCTGTTTCTGATCGATCTGACACCTCCGGGATAAATATTTACGACCATGTCCCGACATGGTCGTAAATTTCCGGGGGATAACTCTTATCCCGAGGGATAAATTGCATTAATCCGAGGGATAAATATAATATCGGTATAAATTTTATCCCCAGGTGGTATAAATTTTATACCTTGGATATAAAATCCAAGCAAAAGAACCTGCGTAATGAAAAAAATAACGAACTAAATGTCAGAGAGCTTGAAAATCATCTCTATTTAACAGTATTGTTAGCCTGATCAAATTTTTGAGGTAAAAAATATTTATCCCTGTCAACATAAATTGATTTTATACCAAATCGGACAAAAATTTTATACCTCGGGATAAATTTTATCCCGAGGAACATAAATAGACTGTTAGTGTCGAGCCGAGGTATTGTGCATCACTTACGTCACTTTGATCATTTTCTACTGTGCCTGCAGATATTAGACAACATTGTAGGCACAGCCAGCCTGCTAAACATGCATCGATTTTCGCACTGCGCGTCGCAATCGCAATGCAAATTGGGTTGAAATAAGAAAAAAAAAACCGAATCGGTCCAAAAACAAAAACACACATACTATTCTGATGTTAATAGATAGTATTTGCGGCCGGATGCCGCCGCCGCCGACAGACGCATTACATAAAATATATGCTAACTGCAATGGAATGATCGCTGATCGGTTTGTTTTGATTATTAGTATGAGCGCGGTAAAAAAATGCGTGCAAAACATTTGCGATTGGCACACACACACACACACACACAACGGTTAGTGTCTGGTGCAAGGCGTGAATCTAAACACATAACATTTAATAATCACGTTGAATATGTGTGAAATCGACTTTCCACAGCTTCACATTACGAGCGAGAAGAAAAAAAAACAACAAACACCAATTTTCCCATGACGTAGATGACACATACACCATCGATCAACCGAGTGAATATGGGCTTCATTTCACTCGACTTCGATGTGTCTATTTTTACATGCCGACATTTATGACTGATCAAATAATAAAGACGTCGTCAAATTAATCTTGCCAAGCCAGCCACCGTTACTATCAACTATTGATGCAATGAATAACCAATTATCGATGATCATCATTAAAAAGCTTGACAGGGCGCGAATGTTGACGATTCAACCGCAAAAAACAAGAGTGTTCCGCTGTCGGTTTTCCATGTTAATCGTTTTGTCTGACGCTATATGCGGCCGCCGTACATACATTCATTTGAATTTCATTACAATGGGGCCCCAGTTCACGCTTAATTGGAGCACAATGTATTAACGGTGGACGACGGCCGATGATGAAACAGAAAATACCAACGGCTAATGGCCAGTAATTGATTGTGTTGGCTCGAGAAAAAAATGGAAACAAGGAAGACCATTTCTTTGAACTCGCGACTCTCCGCATACCACGCTGACAAAAACAAACTGCCGGTATTATGCAAGTGACTCGTTTGCCACAGCAAAACTTCCCACACATTTTCAACTCAAGCTCCCAGAAGAAATGTTATGAAACTCAGTTTTTTTTAATGAAAAAAAAAAGGATTCAAACCAGATGATGTGATAAGATAACAATTTTTTTTTAAAACATTAATGGAAGAAAATGAAATTGAATAAAGTAATGGCAACGCGCATAAAGCGACGGGATGAGTAAAACTTATAAAAAATTCCAAGAAGACGCAATTTTGAATACTTTTCAAATTGCACATTTTTTCTCCCTCTCTCT